ATGTGACCCTGAAGCTTGTCACCAGTGAGCTTTGAAACCGGCCCTGCATCTTGCTCACGAAAGGAACATGAACTGGGAGTTGGAGAACACAGACCCAATCCCTTCTGTCACCAGCTACACCCGCCATCAGCATCACACCCGCCATCAGCACCGCCAGGGCAGCGCGCATGTGCGCGCACCTGTGCGCCCCATGCGGCAAGCGCCCCTGGAGCTGCTTGGTTTTCCAGCTGTTCAACAGGTGAGTAAGGAAGCTGGAGCTTCAAAAGCTACTGCTAAGGAAAGAAAGAAGGGCAGGGCCGGGGAGGAGAGTCAGGAGGGAGGACAGGAGAGAGAAAGTTAAAGAGCAAGGGGGCGGGAGGGAAAATCAGACTCCTCCTCTGCTCCTGCTCTTCAGGCCTTGATGCGCCTTTGATGTGCCCAGGGGCGGGAGCTGATCCCAGGAAGGCTGGAGCAGCCCTCGCCTGAGCAGCGTGCTCTAGCGCACACTCGGTTCCTACGCACTTCCGGGAGCCGCACTTAGTTATCAGTCACTGATAGCCGCAGCTGAGCAGGTCCCTGGCCTGCTCCAGAACCCTGCGCAGCTCCACCCAGCGAGAGAGTGTGCACGCGGCATCTCGGCATCTCTCCTGTCCTGTGGAACACCAGAGCTCCCTAGAGCGCGCTCCACAGGCGCTTCCTTCGAGTGCCCTCCCTCCTGTTCTCCCTGAGGAAAGGTGCCTGGAACCACACAGCTCTCGGAGGATCCAACGTGCAATGCCTTCCCATGGGGCAGCCCTGGCTCCTCTCCAGGGAGAATGAAAAATGTCTTTTATCTCACTTGGGCTTCACTGTTTTGTGACACTTGGAATCTCTGCTCTCTTTTCTGGGATTGCTCCCCACGTCCTCCAGCATGGGGCCCACTCTTAATCTCAAAGTTGAAGTGGAACGGTGAAAATCTGAAGTGTGGCTCACACAGAAGGGAAAAATACAAACAAAAGCCTAAGTCACAGTAGCACCCACACTTGTCCTTATTCTCAAAGGACAGGCAGTGGTGGCTAACTCGTGTAATTATTTACACTGAGCCGGGAGTGCGTGCTGGTGTAATCATGCTGGTGTGGTTGGGAATGTACTGAGGGGCTGTGCACATGGCCTTCTAACTCTGAGTCCTCCTGTTAATGAGCAGCTGCAACACAATTCAGAAGGGTCCGCCCCTGAGAACCAGAAGGAGCTGGAGGTAGGAGCAAAGCAGGCTTTCTGTCTCCCACCACCCCTTCCGCAACCTAGTGCCTAAAGCAAGCTGCCAAAATTTGGACACTTGAGACCTTTCCTAGCCCATGCAGCTTAAAGACAGCTACATCAGGGCCAACCCTGGGCCCTGGATTTCAGGCCTCTTAGTAAAGCTGCCTCTTCCAGGCCTGGCCCCGCCGGGGAGCGTTTTCCCAGCTGGCACCAGGAGCTTTCAGCTACCCGTATGGGGTCAGGTGTGTCTGTCTAAACGTGGGGAAGAAAACTCAGCAAATGACAGAAAAGAGGAAGTTACAGCAAAACCAATTATTCTAGCCCAGAAGCCAGCTGAGGTCACCTGCTCGGCCTGTGCCATGCCGTGGGGTGGGTGATCAAGATGCTGTCCTAAAGTCAACCTCTGCAGTTTTCTTAGAACAGATAGTGCTTTGGGAGGAAAATGAAACAGAAGTGTGGTAAGGGGCTGCGAGGGCAGACAGAGAGGGCTAGGAGTGAGATTCCTCCACTGTTGTACGTGCTGGTGCTTCAAGAGTAATCCACAGCAGTTACCAAGTGTACAGTGCTTCTTACCATACTTTCAAATGTACGTAAGTGACAGAAGACAGCAAAAGAGGAGTCACTGATCATGGATCTGAGAACCAAACACTGATGTTTAAAGTCATGCTTCCAGGGAGGGCTCGGGACCCGGGGTCACTGCAGAGCCCTTGACTCAAGGGGCTGAGGCCCCAGGTTCCCTCCCCAGAGTCACAGAGAAAGTAAAGCTGGGCTTGTAGAGAAATAATGCACGGTGAGCTGTGCTTTAGCACTGTGAACTTTTCTCGTTCTGCTTTTAGCAGAGCTTGGCTTTCTAATCTTAAGCAAGCCACTTCTACATTACCAAGTTAACACCAAGCATGCGCACACTTTCACAGTGAGTCACATGGCCACATTATGGCCACATGAACCCTAGGCGGCCCTTCAAAGGCTGAGTCCCCACCACTTGGGTCCCGCCCGTCTCAGGACCTGGGGCTGCCTCCCTTCTGCCATAAGCCTCACTGCCTTAATATGGGAGTTGATTTATCACTCCTATCAAAGCAGTTTCAGATCCTGGCTGCAGTCCTGTAGCCTACATCAAAGGAAAAACAAAGAGTATTTTCTTTTAAAACAGGGCTGACTCCTTCATCCCTACTGACACTACCTCTGAAAACATTTCAGAGCATGTTGGCGCTGTCACGTGGACCCAGGTTAATTATGCGGCATGCCGAATTTTGGCACCTGGCTTCTTCAAACTTCAAAATACATTTTTGAAAAATTACAGATTATGAAACTGGCCGTTGGAAGCCAACATGGCTGTTCCAAGACTCTGTGATGCTATCGCCTGTTGCTGCTCATCTGTATCATGCCAGTGTGGACAGACTCAGCCAAGACACTCAGAGGCTGTGCTCTTCTGTGGTCAGGTCAACAAAGAGTATCACATTGCTGGGCAGAGGGGGGCACCACGCAGGACACCCACACTTCGCTCTGTCGAGCACATCCTATGCACCCTGTGAGCATGCATGGAACTCAGAGCCCAAACTCCAGAGGCCGGAGCTTGGAGGGACCTGTGTACCTCTGAGGGGTCTGAACAATAGATGGCCTCTGGCTGCACACCAGGCCTGGCCTCCAGATCAAATCTCCAGGAGGAAGAAAGGTGTGGCTCTTTACTTTGGATCCCGCTAGAACTCCTGCTTTGTTTCTCACACATTCAGCCCTGACCTCCTGAACCTGGATGTCCTCCAGGGTGGGGCCGGCAGGCTGCTTCCCTGGGATCCCACTGAGGATTCGTCCAGAGCGGGTGCTTTTACTTTTGCTTTGTGCAAGAGCAAATACCCTGCTCAGTGTCCCTGATCTCCGCATTCACTGACTCGGTGGCCCCCACCCCCAAGCAGCTGGAACTCTAGTGGAGACTGCTGGATTTCAGGTGGGCGACCCACCCCACGAGCCTGTCTGTCCCATCCTCCCAGCCTCTGACTCTCAGCTCTACACACCTGACCTGGCTCCAGGGACCAGGCGAGTCATGGCAGGCTGAGGGCTTGAGTCTTGGCTCCCCTCTTCCTAGCTGCAGGAAAGCCATCACTGTGCTTCCCTGTCCCTCAGGGTCCTGTAAGCAACAAGAGTCCACACCTTGCCCAGCGGACCTGAGGATCAACAGGAGGCTGCCAGCGGTTCTGACAGCACTTAGATCCAGTACAACAGGTGAGAACACACATGTTATAGCAACGGCTAACCTGAAGGAAGCCCATCTCAATGAGAACTGGTCAGCAGCATTTCTAAATAACCTCTCACACACAAACCATCATCTGTTTTTAATACTGTCGCTTTAAGATTCAGTACTTTACTTTAACTGAACTTGTTTGCTACTGTTGTACTCAGGAACCTCTGTCTAGGAGACGCAGGACCAGCGCACAAGTTCAGTGGGTTCAGGTTCCTCAGAGTTCAATCTAAAGAGAGGAAAGGGGTCCCCTTGGCACACAGGTGCCACCTGCTCCTGAGGACTCTCCTATCAGCTGGTGAAGGGAGGGCAGGCAGGTGGCCAGGGCTCCCAAGTGGGCAGGGAGGAGAGGCTGCTCTCTGCCCCTCAGCCAGGTCACAGAACCTTCATTTGGAAAGGCGCACTGGTCCCCCTTTTTCCTAGATTTTGCAAGACTCCTGCTGCAGGTGTTCCAAAGGAGCTTTGTACCTTGGCAGGAAGTCTCCCAGGAGACTTCCCCGGTTTCCTCCACGCCAGAAACTCTTGAACCCATGCCCAACAGAACCACCCACACGGAGCAGCTCTTGAAAGCCCACTGCCCTTGCCCAGGCCAGCGCCCAGGACTACGCAGGTTGCGTTCTGCTCTCAGCAGTTTCCGGCACAGCACTCTGGAGCACTACCCTCCTCCAGCTCCTCAGCACCAGCGCCAGCCATGCCAATGACATCAACGGCAAGCAGGGGCCTGACTCTCTTCCGGGTTGCGCAACACCACCTAACCTGCTCTTCTCTCTAGGGGGTTCAGGGTGGGCAGCACGGGTCCTCCCGAACCAGGCACAGCGATCTCACTTTTTCTTTAATACGCATACTATGTTGGTGGTTGTCCTAGTATCAGACTTCAAAACAGCAGAAGGAAACATCCCAAAGAGAAAATCCGGAGTACGAAGAACCTCGTTTCAAACATGCAGGACTGACAGTGTGGAACCAAGCCTGGGGAGCCCTCAGGTGAGGGGCGTGGGAAGCAGGCATATGGGGACCCAGGTGGGGCCCGCGCCAAGGGAGGCCCAGCGAGGCTCACCGCAGGCTGGGACGAGCCAGGCTGACTCTCGCATCCGGTCGGGCAGGGCGCACACCTGGCTACAGACCGAGTGATCCCCACCGCCCACCCAGGCGTGGAGCCCTGCACAGTTCTGCGCCAGGGTTGGGGGATTCGCAGAGGGACGCGGAGGTGTATGTGTGGCGGAGGGGGGTCTGTCTCAGGGTCCCGGGGTCCCAGGTCCCTCCTCGCTACGGTGCCCTAGGTCCGCCCGGCCCGGGCGCAGCGCAGCCAGGGAAGTAGGGAGCAAAGTTGGAGCCCGCGCTGGCTTGTCCTGTCTCGGCCTCCTCAGGGGCGCCCTAGCCGGCTGAACGCAGTCTACCAAGTCCCGGGGCGTGGGGGACGCAGACTGTGAGTCTGGGACGCGAGGACACCGGACACAAGACATGGGGTCGAGGGACGCGGATGCGGGGCTTGGGACGCCGGCGCGGAGACAGGGGACGCAGACTCCCGCTTGGGACCGGGTCGCACACTCACCGCGCTTCTCCTCCGGCGCCGCGCTCGCCCCCAGCACCACCAGCAGCGCGTACAGCGCTAGCCCCGCCGCCCCGCACGGCCGCATCGGCAGCATCGCTCTGTCCCGGCGGGCGCTGGTCTTCGTCCTCTCCGCGGGGCTCGCGCTCCGGGACTGCGAAGCTGCGGGAACCGGCCCTAGCGGTGGCGGGGGCCGTGGGCGGGGCCTTGTCGTGGGGCGGGACGGGGCGGGGCCAGGCCGAGGCCTTGGGCGGGACCGAGCATCAGGGACCCGGCCTTGTCGAGGCCGGGCCGCGGCTGAGGCCATGGGCGGGGCCTGGACCCGGGGGCGGGGGCGGGAGGGGCCAGGTCGCAGCCGTGGGCTGTAGGCGGGGCTTGGGGCAGCGAAGCCGGTCGCGCTGCGAGCTGGGCAGGGACTGGAACTGGGCCGGACCGTGAGGCCCGCAGATTCCCCGCCGCGCTCGCCGGCGCTCCTGAGCTTTCTCTGCAGGTGCGCTCCGCTCCCCTGGCACCCGGAGCTGGCAGGGGTCAGAGGCAGCAGAGAAGGAAGGGCGCTCGGGAGGCAGAGTCCCCGAGCCCTTGGGAAGAGGGAACCGCCCTGGCACAGCGCAACCTGGGCGGGCAGCGTACGCTGGAGGAATCCGGCGGGGCCCCTTGCACAGGCAGAACCAGACGGGACGGGAACTGCACTCACAGGAGGAGGCGCAGGGCGCGGAGGCTGGGCGCAAGCACATAGAAGAGTTCTCAGAGGCCAGGGTCCTTGCCCTGGGCGTCCAGCAGCGACACAGCAAGACGTCGCAGGGACGGGGTGGGGGGAGGGGGGCTTCCCGGAACCGCCAAAGTTCTTCTGCAGACTCCGCCCCACCTGCGGAGGCCTCCAGAGCCTCCCCTGGTGGAGTCCGCGGCCCTGGGTCGGTCCGAGTGCGAGCCAACACCCTCCCCACATCTCCTTCCCATGGGGCTGTGCAGGGTCCACCTGGCCTCCTGCTAGGCTGTATTTTACCTGGGCGATGGTGGAGCCAGGGCTGTCTGCCAACCACAAGCCTGCAGCTGCTTCTGTGGATAAACACAAGCAATCGCTCCTGGATCTTAACAAATCAGGGCAATCCCTACACTTTGAATTCCTGTGCTTGATCTCTCCAAGATTCCAAAGGAACTCAAGGCAGTTTGTAAAGAAACACGAAGGCAAGTGCCTCGGAGCATAGCAGCTGGGAAGCCCAACAGAGAGCAGCCAGACGAAAAGGGCAGTAAGTCTTCAAGGCACAGGCCACAGAAGCCCGCCATGGGCCACAGACGCTGTCACACCCTCCTCCCTGTCAAGGAAATGTAGCAGTGACACAAACTGTACTGTCCTTGTATTAAATGTAAAGCACTTTAAACTGCAGCCCATTCTGAAGGCTTGCTAGGAAGTTCTCCCCGGTTGCAGGAGAGTCTCCCAGGGTGCAGAGCAGTCTGTGCGTGTTTGTGACAATATCCTTCAGCGTGACCACGATGTCACTGGACCTCAAGACTCAGGGCTTTGAGGAAGTGACTACTAGAGGGGCAGTGGTGCTATGGTTTGGGGGAAGGTGTAGGTTTTCTGCCTGCCCCCTTGGGGCCTCTCTTTCAGCCGTTTCTCCTCCTGCCCTTCACAGAGTGACTTTCGGGTTGGTGTTATACTCCAAGGCGGGCGCCTGGAATGCAGTGATAACAGTGTTATGTGTGAGGGGCTGGACTGGACTGGTGGCAAGGACTTCCTCTTTGAAGACCAGAGGGGCCTCGCTTAGATGGCCCTGCAGAAGGTGCTCTCCAAGGTCTCGAGGCTGAGGCAGAGTGCCCTATGCTCCTGCCATCACTGGAGGATGACACCTGCAGCCCGGCTCTGCTGAGCACAAACCACATCCTCGCCTGTGCAGGGAAAGCTGCCTTGTGCTTATGCCTGCCCTTGTTGGAGCGGATGGCTCTCCACCTTGGAGAGGCTCTGCAGCTGCCAATTCCCCGTGCAGGGTTGGCCCACAGGAAAGCCCAGCTCCAAACCCTGTGGAGGCGGGTTCTTCATCCTCCTCTTGCGCTTCTACCCCTGGCCAGGGGATGGTGTCCTGACACCAGATCCACTGCACCTTGTTAATTGTTAACTCAGTCCCGGGTAACATTAATGCTTGGCCAAAACATCTTCAGATTAAAGCCCGTCTACTAGCGAATATATATGAGACTCTAGTCCTCCCAAAACAAACCTTTTTCATAACACAGGCCGTTTGTCCTCAAGCTTGCATACAAGAGAAACACTTCCTTTTGCTAATGAGTGGTTGTTTTCCCAGAAGAAAATTCTGAGAATGTCGAATGGGAGTCCTGTGTTTTCTAGAAGACACACAGGCTGAGTTCTCCATGCACACTGGAAGAAGCGAAGCAGCTTCTTTCCTGGATGCAGAAGCAAGGCTTTCAGATACTTTAATCCATCTCAGGAGTGGGCACTTGGCCACCTGGTTTTGTTTTCTTTTCTTTTTTTCTGGTCTTGGAAGTCAAAACAAAGACTGATGAGGGAAGAATCCAGAGTAGCAGATTTCAAAACCTTAAAATATCTATGCATTTTTATGGATTCTTGGAGCAGTCTAAAGTGGCTGTACTCCCCTCCGAGGAGACAAGGTTTCTCCTTCCCCTAAGCCCTTTCTGCACAGTGGCCAGTCTCTAGGGTGCTGGGGTGAACGAGGAAGCTGTGGCTCTCAAAGCTGAAACTTCACCAAAGCTCCTGCTTCTAAAGTGGGACTCCACTCGGATGGCGGGTGGTGCCTGCAAACAGCTCTTCTGCAGAGATATTTAAAGGATCTGATAATGATGCTGTACCTAGGGAAGACAGCTGGGGGGTAGATGTCGGGGGTTGGAGGAAGAATCAGTTTGCAACTGTTCCACCTTTTCTAGGCCTGGGTTTTGTTCTGTGTACCTGTACCACCTGCTTCTTCCTGACAGGGTTTGGCCCTCATGTGGCCCTGCTCGGCTCAGGTGCTACTGGCGGTTTGAGCCATTTATCCCTTCTCATCTGGGCCAATCTGTGCACATGATTCCACTGAGACCTGTATCCTGCAGAGGAGACAAAGTGTGGGCTATGCTGGTGGCAGACTGAGAAGGTTTCCCTAGATGATCCCACCTTCTCCAGAATGGAGGCTGTGCAGGGTGGAAGAGCAGCCTTGGTCCTGCATCTGAGCAGCAAGTAAATCACCAAACAAGGGGAAACCTAGCAGTAATTCTTGGATCCAGCAGAGAGTTGAAGTCCCAAGGCACATCCCTGCCACCCCCAAATTGGAGCCCTGGGTGGAAAGAGGCAGGAAAGCACCAGCAGCTCCTGGGGCACAAACTTGTGACTCTACCCAAGCCTGAGCCTGGACAGGAAAACCTGAGCAGCCAAGGGCACTTGCTGGGCTCACAGTGGCCAAGAGGGACAGAGGAAGGACTTCAAGAGACCCAGGCACTGGGCGGGCGCTGGTGGGGACCGTGCACCACGTGTGCTCCTGAGACTGAGCTGCAGCGCAGTCCTTTGGTGGATGGCTTCTTCTGAGGCAGGGTCTTACCAAGTCACCAGGTTTCCTCCCCAGGCTGGTCTAGAACTTTGATCCTCCTGCCTCAGGCTCCCAGCATGCTGGCATTGCAGGTGTGTGCCACCACAGCTGGGTCACATACTTGTGTGGGTTTGGCTTCTAGGAGCCCACAGATTCTCATGTCAAGGGTTGGAGACAAATCTATGGTGCATCTGGCTGGGGCGGGGGTCCCTGGGGCCAGCACACCTGGGAAAGGGACAGCCAACTGCCGCCACCTCGGGCTCCAGAAGCTTGCCGTCTCTACACAGGGGCACTGCAGCGCTGAGGCCTGGCAGGAACCCAGGCAGTGCCCCCCCCCCCGCCTCTGCCATCTGGCCAGGGCCTCACTGCCTTCGTTCCTGCTCCCCAGCCCACCACATCCACCTCTCAACATGTCTCACTAGAGACAGAAAGAGTCAGGCGTGACAGGCATTGGAAGCCCTTGCTCAGCAGAGCATCTGTGATGGGCTGGGGAGCTGCAGTACTCTGATGGGCATCTGCAGGTCGGCTCCTCTGGCCACAGCAGCCTGCACTCTTCTCTGGAGCTCACGCTGCGTGTACAGTGAGTAGGGCCAGAAGGCCACCCGGGCAGGGCCACAGGAGTAAAACTCCAGATGGCCTCTGCACCCAGAAACTACAAAGGTGGCTTGTAAAACACAATTTTCTAAAAAAAAAATTGTCTTTAGTCCTCAAGCTATTTATTTATTTATTTAGCAGTACTGGGGATTGAACTCAGGCCCTTGCGCTTGCCAGGGAAGCACTTATTTCACTAAGCCATCTCCCCAGCCCCCAAACTGCAATTAAATTAGAAATTAGAAACCAATTTAATAGAATTAAATTAGAAATCAATAACACAAAATAGCTGGAAAATCCTCAAATATTAGAGATTCAGTAGCACATGAGTATCACACAGATGCCAGATGAAATATCAAAAGAAAATTTTAAATATTCAAATTAAAATGAAAGCACTGTGTCTCCAAGTCTGTGAGCAGCAGTCAAGGCAGCAGCAAGAGGGAAATTTATAGCGTCAGTGAGGAGAAACCTGGAAGGGATCGCTTCCACTTCTGCCTGAAGAGGCCGAAACAAGTGGGAGCGTCAGACCCAGGAGAAAAGAAGCAATGCCAGGAAGGCCTTGGAAACAGGACCTCCCCCGAGAAAGTCAGTGCAGACCCAAGGCAAGCCTTCCCTGGTAACCTCTGACGGAACTAGGAAAGGACCTGGAAGTGTGGGAGCTCCACGTGGCAGAGCAGAGGTGGAGATGGGGACGAGGGCACTGGCCTTAGCACGGGAGGGGCTGATTCCTTACATGGGAAACCAGCTGAGCTCATAAAACCCAAACCACTAAAATTCACACAGAAAAGCAAGCATCCTGTTAGTCCACACCCACTAAAGAAACTGAATGAACTATTAACAACTTTCCAAAACAGAAAACACTGGTAAAGCTACCAAATATTTAGGGAAGGGATGATACCTATTCTGTTTGTCTTTTTGAGACTACGAAGAAAGGAGTACAGAGACTGCTTCTTAATTTATTCTGCAAAGTAGGCTTTCTGCAGAACCAGGCCAGCGTGTGTTGAGGAAGTAAGACTGCATGCCGCTGCATCTTAGAAGCGCAACTACCACCTCCGGGACAAAACGCTAGCAAAG